ACAAGTGTTGGAGGGGCTGTGGAGAGACAGGAACTCTAACCACTGCTGGTTGACATGTAGGTATGTACAGCCACTATGAAAATCGATCTGGCGATATCTAAAACAGATGGAAATCAAGCTACCATACAACCCAGTAATCCCCCTACTGGGCATACACCCAGAAGGGGCAGGAAACAAACCATGGCCAGACATCTGTGCTCCAATGTTTATCGCGGCACAGTTCACAATTGCAAGGAGTTAGAAACAACCCAAATTTCCATCAATGGACGAGTGGATTAAAAAACTGGTACATACATACAATGGAGTACTACACATCGCTAAAAAGCAGTGATGAACGTATGAAGCGCATCACCGCATGGGAAGAACTGGAAGAAATCATGGTAAGCTAAGTAAGCCAAGCACAAAAGGACAGTATAACATAAGTCCACTGAGGTAAGTTAAAAAAAAAAAAAAGGCAAAGGGGCATAGGGAAAAGCTACTATATACAAACATTCCTGGGGCAAGGACCAGGTGGTATGGTAGCGGCCAGACAAAATCCAAGGATACATATGGTAGCCAACTAAAAAGGAGGAGGGGAAAGGGAAAAAAAAAGAAATGGGTAGAGGGGGAACAGGGCAGTAACCCACCCAAGGGGAGGGTATTGTTTATATCTCCTCAGGGAAAGAGGGACCAGACTTGAACCCAGTGTTCCAAGATGTGAATGCAACATGCTGGCGTGGAGTAGGGAACCAGTGGAGAGGTCTGAGGGGCGGGCCCAAATCCCAACTACTTGGACAGCTGCCCCTCCCCCAGAAGAATTTACTTCAGAGGACAGCACTGAAGCTGCAGCTCAGGGAGAGGGACATGTCTGATCAGAGCACACAGAAGCAAATGAAGGGGGAGGAGGAGAGAGGGGAGCACATCCTGGCCCACCAAGCCTCGATGACAATATCTGCGCTCAGAGCAGCCAATCTACAGAGAAGACCATATGGCTGGCCCCACTATGAGACACAACATCCCTCACTGACCCATAGCCCTACAGGGGACAACACTA